GGGCGTTGGCAGGCATTGTGTCCTCCGTCATCTCTGAGGCCTTACTTTCCATCCTCCTCTTCCCCTCTACAACCACCACCAACGCTTTTTCGCTCTCCCACTCACCCTCTCCCGCTTCTTCCTTTACTACCCTCTTCCCTCTCATTCTCCACCTCCTCAACTCCTCCCATATCCTCACTTCCATCTCCCTCCTCCCTCCCTCCTCTTGTAAACGAAAAAGACCTGAGCATCCAAGCGGATCGTGCTTGTCAGAGTTAGAAGAGCGTCGCTGCTTAGGTTGTGGTTGATTCCTTGTTGAGGATTTTGAGCGTTATCATCGATTATCGTGGCAACAAAGGGATTTTAGGATTCTCAAGTCCTCGTTGCTGTATAAGGATGTTGAAGGTGGACGTTAGGGGGATGAAATCCAGTGCAGAGCTCGGCTTGGTAGTGGTGGGCGTTAGGGGGTGCTACTCTATTTCTTCTTCTCTTTCTCTTCCATGGCGGTAGGTTGCGGTTTCTGCTTTCTAATTGCATTATAGGCGGTAGGTGGAGTGGCGATGGATGTTTGCGTTTTGTTTGATCTTTGCGGATAGAACCTCCAAGAACTCTACGGATTGAACCTCTGAGCAAAACTAGCTCTAAAATTGAACCTCCGAGAACTCTACAGATTGATGTTCAGAAGAAATGTCTGGACCAACAAGTAATCTGCTGATTTCAGTTTCGTAGGAGGTAGGTCCTTCGAGACTAGTAGGGTGGACTCTGTTTTGTGTTGGTTAATTTTCCTACTATTTTTCCATATAAAACCAAACAATGGAAAGTTAAATTTTTACACTTTCTCATCCCATCTCACCCAAATCTTTCCACAAACCAAACAGAGCCTAAAGGTTTCCCTACCTTTCCCTTCCTTTTCCTTCAAACCAAACATATCCTAAAAGAATTATTTTTAATAGAAAAATAAATTATTCTCTTGATGGTTTCTTTAATTTGGAAAACAAATCCAATTGGTCAATAAACATACTATGGGTGTCTATCTCAAGATAGGGGTGAGCATCACTTAAAAACAAAAAGCAGAACCAATAATTTTGGTTTGAATTTTTTTTTTTCGGTTCAGCTATTTTGGTTTTAAAAACTTCAGGTTTAGAAATTATATATATATATATATATATATATAAGTATAAATGTTAATGAAAGGATTAAATCCTTTTGAATTTATATTACAACAAACTAAGTTTAATAAATTATGATTATATGTCTTAGTAAAACAATTACATTCTCCTTTGAAATTATTCACCCAAAAAATTCTCTTAAATGAATAATTGAGATTATAGACACAAAAGCATTGACTCGAGACATGGGTATTGCACTTTAATATGTATGGATATAATATGATTGATTATCAATGCTACTTATGATATTTTGGAATGGTTTAGTGGTTAGAACACTTACATTTCAAGTAAATAATTTAGGCCCCATTTGATTTGTAGGAATAGGGATCTGAATTGGATTGGGTTATTCTGATTCTAATTATTTGGTTGAGTGGAATAAATTCCCATTCCAGTTGGAATGGCATTCTCCAATTTGAAGGAATGGCCATTCCTGCCCCTCCCTTAGGAATGAAATCCTATTTTTGTTGATTCTCATTCCTCTATGAACCAAACAGACTATGGGAATAAGCCATTCTGACTCCGAAGGATTTTAATTTCGATTCTGATTCCAACTACGAACCAAAAGGAGCCTTAGTTTCACACTTTCATATCCTTTTAACAACTTATTAAATTTACACTAATATTAAATAGATCTAAATGGAATTATTTGAATTAGTTATGAAATAAATATAATTAATGCTATAAGTGGTAAGGTTATTTATGGAGCCAATATAGTAAATGAAATATTAAATAAAGTAAACTTAATAGGCATTAATTAAGGTATTTAAATTTATATCTCAAATTTGAAGAACCATACCAATAATAAGATTTGACAATTGACAATCCCGTGAATCGAGTCATGACAGATTTAACGATGTGAAAATTTGATAGAAAAAACCAAACAAATTTGAAACGGATTTGAGATCAAAGTACAAAAGCGAATTCGAAAATATGGAAAGGGCATGAATACCTAACCGTTGGCATCCCTAATCATGCCATTATACAAATTGAAAAATACATGAGCTTACAAAAAAAAAAAAAGATTGAAAATGTATTGGTCCTATTGGATTTGCATTTTTTTCTAAAGGTGGATTTGCTTCTAATTTAAAGATAGGCATTTTGGTGGATTAACATTAATCAGTAAAATGATCTGGCTAGTGCAGTAAAAAGTAGTTCATAGGCTATAATGGCTAGACGAAAATGCACATGAGCTATTAGGCAAGAGGCCCAACTGCCCAAGACTTGCGAAGGCCAGCCAGCCAGCACTTCTGAGGGGGTACGTAACTTCTGCAGCGAAGGACATAGTGGACCTTTCGGACATAGTCGAGCTGACACCTCTGACTTTTGTGGACGTTTGCTGGTATGCATTTGCACGAGCAAACGGTGTATTTTCTCGATTCTCCCCATCGACCGACCTATCTATCTCGAAAACCTAAAAAAAATAAAATAAAGAAACTGATTATCTCGATGGAATCTCTTACGTTTTATGTGTGCAACCGAGTCATAGAAGTGGTCAAAGAATCTAGAAAACGCCCCCACCCGTTTACAAACGCCAAAAAGCAACTTGTGGTCCCCACCAGCACAAAGGGTATGACCCCGCAGACGCAGAGCGAGCGAGTGGGAGCAGTGGTGGTACCTGGTACCCCCCCGCCCTGAAAATAACCGCTAAAATAACGGGCAGGTGGGGGCCTATTAGGCAGCGGAGCCGAGATCATTCAGAGCACAGCAGGCCCACCAACAATTAACAAAGCTGATTTCTTTTCATGACCAAAACACCCTGCACCTTTTCATTATATGACTCACGGCTATATATTAATGCCCTCCTAGTCACTGATGCAAAACAAAATGGATGATAGACCCAAAAAGCTGTATAGAGTGGCTGATTAAATGCTCTCAATAGACGAGACCAAATCATCTTCGATCGGAGTCTCTCCAGAGTCCAGACCAGACCAAATCATCTTCGATCGGAGTCTCTCCAGAAAAAAAGCAATTTGTTATGCTCTCTCCACTCCCACCCAGTCCATTATTATTATCTGCGGCAAGTGGTCGTAGCCTACCCTACTTGGCAGATGAGGGCCCGAATTCGGTGGTTTTAGAATATTTTTTTCTCTAAAGAAACTTCACATCAGAGCAACAAAGGCACGTGGTCAGTCGGCCAATGGTCGCTCTACTCACTATTTTTTTTTTTTGATTCACAGCTTCTGGGTTCGGCTTTTCGAACATCAACGGTGGGAACAACCCCTATTGACTATTAAGTAGCTAGCCATTCTGATTTCTGAACATCCAAAAACTAGAAAAAAATAAAAAAGTGATTCCGGGTAAAAATAGAAATTTCTTCCTATTAGAGTTTCCCTTGCATTGGTCATCGTCGAGGGGTAGGGGGGTAATTCTCAAGCTAGGCTGAAAAGATGCAGAAGCCGTGACGTCGTCGTCTTTGCTCTTTTTCTGAGTTTTGAGTTCCGACTGGCCCCGCTAGGCGCTGGTTCTCCGAAAATTTTAATGAACCGGGCCAGGTAGAACTAACTAAAAGCTACCCGTGAATCGTCATTCTTACCTTCTTTTTATTTTCAACGTGGTGGGGGTCGGGGTTGTGGTGGAGTGTGGGTGTCAAATGTTAAACTGTCAAACAAAAGAAAAGCGCGTCGCAGGTGTCCAAATCAATTAAATGGTCGTCAACATTCAGAGAGATTCTCTCTCGGGATAAGGTTTTGCTGTGGATCCACACTCCATACTTCTCCCTTTCTTTCCTTCTTGCTCGCCACTTCATCTTTTCGTGATATAAAATTACGCCTTAACACTCTTTTTACCGATAATTTTTTTGTTAACTTTTTACTGGTTGCCTTTATACCTTTCTCTTGCAACTGGGATCTCGCTGAATTGATCGGCAATGTCTCATTATTTCGTTTAAATATGTCCCACAGACCCAGATACATCCCTAAAAGCAATGATCTACTGATAACATAAGGTCCAAATGATGCTGGCTAGTGGCTGAATCTATTCATCATTCACTGAATCACTGCGTTGAGGGGCTTTTAACCAATCCAGTTCAACCCAGAGATCTGTGGGACCAATTACAAGGATTGTCTCATACGAATCGGAATACTGGGTTTGGGTCAAAATAATTACCCATTTTTTAAGTAATAAGGAGTGTGTCTCCACTCTCCTGCCTCCATCTCGATACACGTTTAATCTGGACATGAATCGTGATTATTGCAATTGCCAGGTGCCCTGGTTTTTGAGTTTGGTAGAGTGAAGTCAGTAAACCATGGAGAACAAGTCGCGAAAGTTGTTTGCCCTCCCTCGTCCCTCCTGTGGGAGAACTGTAAGCCAGTAACAATTAATTGTTTTCTAGAGAAGTTTCCTGAGTTTACACTGAAGAACAGCAACATTTAATGGCACCACTGTAGGATCATCTTGCTGAGCCTTGACGTGGCCATATCTAGCCCGTTGCCTTCAGAAACTTCCCTCGGGCTTTTCTCCTCGGGATCGGTATCACGATATTTTAAATAGCTTTATTAATCTCACGATATTATAAAACAGAGACGGGGGGGAGCTAGGGATTAGGATGATGGATAGGGCCTGGCCTAGGGGGGAGAAGAAACGTGGAAAGAGAAAGAAGAAACAGAAACCGGTAAGGAGGGAGGGACTCATGGGATGGATCGGTGAATGGACACGCGGCCATCCGCCGCAGATTCGCCAACAAGAGATGATGAACGAGAAAAGAAAATAAAACCGAAGAAAAGCCATAAAGTAGAAAACATTAAAAAAAAAAAGAAAGAAAATACGAGAAATTGAAAAGATATTTATTTCGGCAACAGAATCAGGGCCCGGCCAGCGGCCACCCCGAATTTTGGTCTATATAAACCCGCCTCGTCCCCCATTCAAATCTCGCCAGTTTTTCCTTCCCTCCACCTCTCTCCACGAAGAGAAACCTCAAAACCCTTGATATAGAGCTCTCCGTCCCCTTCCCTTTATCCGCCGTTACCTTTCGGTTAGGTTTCCGTTCTATCCTTATTGCTTGTTTACGTTTCTCTGTCGATATTTCCCCGTTTCCGAAGATTTTCCGGTGCCCTGCACGTTTTCTTCTCTAATTCCACTGCTTATTTGTTCTCTGAATGCATTCGATGTTCTCCGCTCGCTGGTCTCATTTTTATTCCTTCTGATTTGATATTTTGATCTCCTAAGGATATTTCTTTGCTTTAATCCAATCTTTAGCTTCTTTTCGTTTCCGTTTTCTTATCATCGTTGGTCTTTGCTCGGTTTCGAGCTCGTTGAATCTTTTATAGATCTTCTAAAGTAAAACCTGTTCTTCTGAGGGGTCGGCGTGGGGATTATTGCTTTCTGTGGGGGGCAGCTAGGGTTTCTCTCTCCTTTCTCAGTCCTTTACTGCTTCTTTTGGGGGGGTAGCCGGGGCTCCGGCCTCGGCGTCTTTCAAAGCCCCCTTCTTGACAAGGAAGATCTAGTCCCCTAATTCTTTTCCTAACCCACAGACAGGGGAAGAGATGCCGACCCTAGCATGTTGTATAGATGCTGCGGCCTTCCCTCCCGGTTACGCTATTGCCGGGGATAGCTCTCTTCCCGCGCCGGAAGCATTTTCCGGCGTACCTCCGGCGACAAACACTACCTCCTCCGTCGACCATTCCCATTGGTCCCCTTCCCTCTCGGCCTCTCTTTACAAGATTGACAGCTGGGGTGCCCCTTACTTCTCCGTCAACTCTTCCGGGAACATATCGGTTAGCCCGCACGGTGCCGAGACTCTCCCTCACCAAGAGATTGACCTAATGAAGGTCGTGAAGAAGGTTTCCGAACCGAAATTCTCCGGAGGATTAGGTTTACAATTTCCTCTAATTGTGCGCTTTCCTGATGTTTTGAAGAACCGCCTCGAATCTCTGCAATCTGCTTTTGATTCCGCGATACTTTCTCAAGGCTATGGTTCGCATTATCAAGGCGTGTATCCAGTGAAATGCAACCAGGATCGTTTCGTGGTGGAAGACATCGTTGAGTTTGGATCGCCCTTCCGGTTCGGCCTCGAAGCTGGATCGAAACCCGAGCTCCTCCTTGCGATGAGCTGTCTGTGCAAAGGCAATCCTGAAGCTTTTCTTGTCTGCAACGGTTACAAAGACGCGGAATACATCTCGCTTGCTTTGATAGCGAGGAAGCTCCATGTGGACACAGTTATTGTCATCGAGCAAGAAGAAGAACTTGACTTGGTCATTGACATCAGCCGTAAACTTGGCGTGCGTCCGATGATCGGTGTACGTGCGAAGTTGAGAACTAAGCATTCAGGACATTTTGGATCGACGTCCGGCGAAAAGGGGAAGTTCGGATTGACAACGATGCAGATCTTGCGCGTCGTAAGGAATCTCGAGCAAGTAGGCATGCTGGATTGCCTCCAACTTCTGCATTTTCATATTGGATCTCAGATTCCTTCAACTTCCTTACTGGCCGATGGCGTTGGCGAGGCCGCACAGATCTACTGTGAGCTGGTCCGTCTCGGTGCTGGCTTGAAAGTCATCGACATTGGAGGCGGCCTCGGAATAGATTACGATGGATCTCAATCATCCGACTCTGACATTTCGGTCGGTTACGGGCTCAAAGAGTACGCTAAGACTGTTGTTCAGGCTGTCCGATACGCTTGTGACAGAAAATTTGTGAAGCATCCAATAATTTGTAGCGAGAGCGGGCGGGCAATTGTATCCCACCATTCCGTTCTAATATTTGAGGCGGTCTCATCGTCTGCAACGAGCAGGCCGACGATGCGTTCGTTTGGTCCTGGCCTTCAGGGATTACTCGAGGAGCTTACAGACGATGCCCGTGTAGACTACGGAAACCTGACGGCCGCGGCCATCCGCGGAGAGTACGAAACCTGTTTGCTTTACGCTGATCAACTCAAGCAACGTTGCATCCAACAGTTCAAAGAAGGCTCAGTTAGCCTAGAGCACCTTGCCGCCATTGACGACCTTTGTGAAATTGTCTCAAGGGTAATCGGGGTATCCGAATCTGTGCGCACATACCATGTGAATCTCTCTTTGTTCACGTCAATTCCTGATTTCTGGGCAATCGGACAGTTATTCCCAATTGTGCCAATTCATCGCCTCGACCAGAGGCCTGGAGTGAGGGGAATTCTATCGGATTTGACATGCGATAGTGATGGGAAGGTCGATAAGTTCATTGGTGGCCAATCAAGCTTGCCGCTTCATGAATTGGAAGGGGGTGAGGGCAAAGCTCATGGTGGTGGTGGTGGTGGATATTATCTGGGGATGTTCTTGGGCGGTGCTTACCAGGAGGCGCTCGGAGGATTGCACAACCTGTTCGGCGGTCCTAGCGTGATTAGGGTGTCGCAAAGTGACGGACCGCACGGCTTCGCGGTGACGCGAGCGGTGCCGGGACCTTCGTGCGGGGATGTTCTACGAGCGATGCAGCACGAGCCTGAGCTCATGTTCGAGGCGCTTAAGCACCGTGCAGAGGAGTGCGGACACGTGAACGAGATCGCCCGTGCCGAGCTGGCGAGCGGCCTGGCCCGCTCTTTCCACAACATGCCTTATCTTACCACAGCCGCTTCTTGTGCAACTGCCAATAACAATTTCTACTATTACTGCAACGAGGACAAAAACAACAACAGCGTTGCTGTGGGTGACGATGAGCAGTGGACCTATTGCTGTGCTTGAGTTTTTGGGAGAGAATTGTTTTTTTTTTTATCAAATCCCCCCCACAACCACCGCTTCTAATGTGCTTTGCTTTGTTTGCCTCTGGAGGTCGTCTGTTTTTTTTTTTTGTAACTTTTTTTCTTTAGTTTTTAATTGTAGCTTCTCTTCGCTGGAGCCTGAAGGTGATGATGATGCAAGGACGGGTCCTTTGGGGACGAGAACCGAATACGTCATGTGTAAATTCGGAATCTCGTTTCCTTTGTTTGTTTTTAGTTTATTTCAGCTATTTTTCTAATAAACATGTTAATATTTCAAAAGAAAAGCATGCGGTTTCCGGTTCAAAGTTTTTGCTTGGCGCTGATTCTACCTATAATCCAATTATAATATTTTTTTTTCAGTTATTAAATGGAATCTACGAAACTGAAGGTTGTTGCTTCATTTACTGGAGTTATTCTATTGAATAATTGAGTTAATTACTATGTTGGTTCAGTCATTCGGGGGATCATGAGCTGACTGACACTCTCGCCCGACTCGATTAATAGAACCTGTCTAGTAAATGAGACTACAGAACCTTGCGTTCCACTTCCTTTACTTGAAAAGTTTTTAATTGAGTTGAAATTGATATTAAAATGGTAGACGAGTCGGGACTATACTAAAATTCGTTGCACAATTTTTTACCCTTTTTTTGTGAGTTGCCCTTCCACAAATAAGCGAATTGATCCCCCAGCATACAAAATTTACAAAGTTGGATGGATATTCAAAGTCTTGTTCATACACCCTCAGCTCTATTTTGTCCCCTTGTGCAAACGAGGGAAACGCTAAAAACGCTTTTCCCTCTTTTGGCAATTCAAATCCCATCGGCCATCTCATAAAAAAACAAATACCAATAGGGTGTTGGCCAATATGGCTTTGTTTTCTACAACAAAAGCAACAGCCAGCCACGTCCGTCAACAAATTAAAGATTATAGTAGCAATACGACGACCTTAACAACCGGTACCAGCTCCTCTCCATAAATGAAACTCACAAACTCAAACTGGACATTCTACTCATCTTTTTCAATCCTGCAGCAGCATCGTTACCCTATCTCTAGTCTTGTGTTCAAGTAGAAAGTTGCTGGAGCCGTTGAAGAATACCTTTGATGATAAAAATATCTTTCAGTCTGCTCAGAACTCATCTGCATGGGTCCTCGGCGGGCCCATGGTGCCAAGTTTTCTTGGGGGGTAGGATTAGGAAGAGACAAAAAGTGTAGTCAGTCGTGTAGGTCATCGCCTACTTGTGGCACGTGTTTTCTTTTCAGGGTGACGGATCGGAAATGAAACAAACTAACTAATTTCCACTGTTTATAATATGTTCCCACTTCCCACTAAAAAAGAATAATGAATTTTTCAACAAATTCATAAACCAACTAAAATTTTGTTCTCTTTCTCACCTATACTTGGACTTGTTCCACAGCCCATTTATTTCTTCAACAAAAAAGTCTTGTATCTTTATCTCCACATACATCTTTTCTAAACTACACATCAAAGAAATCCAATCAACCAAGACGTCCCCCCCCCCCCCCCCCCTTTCCCCTAATTAAACTGTTGAAAATTATATTCAAACAATTACATAAAAATGGGAAAGGAAAACTAAAAACAGTGAAGAAATAAATGTGTTGGTGGATGATCAAAAACTAGGGACAAAATTAGACAGAAAACAATCCAAAGGTTCGTGTCTATGCATTACTCTGTGTTCCAATTAACATGTTTTTTATACCCTTGTATCGTGGCCAACAATTTCTATGAAAAATATGGACACTGTGAACATTACCCACAATCTAAACTCTAAACAAGTAGCTAGAATAGGAACCCATAAATTAGAATCTGTTTGGATAAGTTTTTTTTTTTTTTTTGAGCTTTAAATTATAAAAAACAAAGAGCAAAAAGGTGATTTGGGAAGGAATAATTGCTTTTCAAAAAACATAATAGTTTAAAGCCAAAACACTTTTAAGCCTAAGGCATGAAGCCTAAATTGAGACTGTGCTTTTGGACTTCGAAAGCACAAATCCTAAAGTTAATCCAAACACAACCTGTTCACTAAAATCTTTATAGCTCCTTAGAGCTGGTGTTAATGGAAGAATCTTATACTGTGCTCAATAATATGAGTAGATCTTCTAAAGAACAGGGAATAACAAGCTATGAGTGCAAGCTGAAGCTTTTTGGTGCTTGTCTGGATTATGTACCACTGTAGCCCAATACAAGCTGCTGAGATACATGTCAGCTATAAATTAGTTTTGTTTGGTTTCATTGCCACAGCTACCTACAACATTAGGAGTTGGTCAATAAAAAATGCGAAACAAAATACATTTTTCTACACAAAAAAAAAATTGAATTCATTAATACAAATTGTCATTTTTATTTGCAAGTCTACAACATCAAATTTGACATTCTGTGGGTAAATGTCAATAATCGATACCGAGCATATACTTTGTTTGTTGAAATGACTACATTTGTTAGTTGAATTAGAAGTGACAATAAAACCATGACTAATATTAAATTTGAATACAAAACTCTGATAGGCAGATCAGGCCATTTGCAGCACTTAATCAACGCTTAACGCTTGGACGAAGACTAACTAGCTACTGCTGGGATGCCTTGACAACTTGACTGGTTCCAATTTCTAAATGAATGGAGGCCCTATATGTGAGTGAAGGCACGAAAAATTAAGGATCTATAGCTTTGATTTCATAGATTTTGATTTATTTTTTAGTTATACAAATATACATTATTAAGAGAAGATAACTCCCCTTTGGCAGTAGTGTTGATGTCAATTCCGTCTGTTCTTAGCTTAATTATTTCCATATTTAACAGAAAATAGAGAAAGACTACTTAACTACTACGGAGAGAGAAAGAGTTGATTCGATCACAAATTGTAGACAGTTTTAGTTTTAGGGAATTGAAAGGTAATGGCATCTCTTGGTAGAGAAGGTACTGATGTCAACAAGCTAGCTTCCAGCTTCCCCCGTTTCTTCTTCTTCTTCCTTTTTTTTTTTGTTAATATTCAAACGAGCAGGTTTTTGCTTTATTCTTCAGCTTCTTATTCCCTTTCCCCGAATTCTAAACCATGTTCACAACCTTTAATTTCTTTTTAACAAAAACCCAACTAACGGACATCCTTACAAAAACTCACATCGTTTTCAAACAATTGAAGATAGACGAGAACAAAGATAAATTATGTTCTATAACCTTTAAAAGCTCTAATTGGATCATGGTGCTGGCCAGTGTTTTAACACTGGACCGGGACTGGACGGTTGGACTGTGAAAATTGAGAATTGGTGGCCTTTTCAGGTTACAGTTAAACGGTTTTGGATTAAACAGGCAACTGCCCGGTTCATCAGTTAAACCGGGACCTGTAGAAAATTTTAGTTTTTAGTCTGGTTCGAGTCTTAAAACATTGGTGCTAGCAGCAAAGCAAAACATGGATGACTTCACAACGAAGATATAAGGTATAAAATGAGGTAGATAAGCAGAGAACAAATTGCCTAGGCCATAGGGTGGGCATGGTCCAGGTATACCAAATGGGCCACTTTGGACCAGGAATTGGTTCCAAAGTTTGGCTTATACTATGGTCTATGGGCTAGATACCTTTTTTTTGGTAAGAACTAAGAAAGCAATACAAAGAATGAATACAATGTTCTTTAGGAAACTGTGTCATGTATTAATCTCGCCCTTGTTACTTTTCATATTAAAGTGAAAAATGTGATTGATCACTGGGAAAGCGTGGATTGTATTTGTTGTGCATGAAACATATGCATATTATGCCCCATTCATTTGTTATTATATCGTGGATAAGTTGTTTAATGGGATAATTGACCAATTTCTTCGTATTAGGAATAGCAATGGAATAGGATGGGGCTGGGTTTTACATGCCTCATAACTGACTCTGAATTCAAATTCCCCGCCCCACCCCGATCATTCTTTTATACTTATAAATTTATTTTTTATTTTTTTGAAACCTACCTAGAACTATTTTGGATTATGTAATATAATATAGTATAATGTAACAACATAAAATTATATAATATATTAGCATATATTAACAATTTTGTATATAATATATAATATAGTTGGGGCGGGTGGACAAATACCATCCCTGACCCCTAGAGTTTTGGGCTTTCCCAAACCCGCCCCAACCAGGGCAGGGCAGGGTGGGGCCCCATGTGGATGGGTCAAATTGCCATCTCTACTTCATATTCTTATGCTGTTATAATGAGTCCCATAGTAAGTGAATTTTCTAAAGAGTATCAATTACCTAGGAAACCGGTACCTTCTTGGAGGGTGAATAAGTTGCCTACCCATCCGTTGAAAACACTAATCCCCTCCAGTCCATCTCTTACCTGGATAAGTGAAAATACATAAGAACACTAACATTGAAGTTACTCAGATAATTTTTTATCCAAAAAAACACTTACCCGGATAAATACATTACGAGGGTACCGAAAATGGACAAGGCCGTGAGGAAAATGTGTTATGAGCCAATGATATCATCTTGTTGTTAATTGGGCCGAGCATGGCCACTAATAGACAAAATTTCTTCCAAAGTTGAACAAAGACCAGCTGATGAGGGGTAATTTGGTCATCCGAATTACATTACGATACGTTACTTTCAAACGGTTTCACGAGAATCTGAGATCCGTTGTAAGAGGACTCAGGTCACTCACATCTATATAAAGCCCTCATTCTTACATGTTAAGGTACGCGTGATTAAACTCTCAAATTCTCTTATCTCCTAAGAACTCTAAATTCAACTTGTTGACTTAAGTATGAAAATGTCCACCCTGAGTAAAAACAACCCGAATACTCTAATCCTACTTCTCCTATAAAACAGAACAACTCGGTTATTCTTAGCTCGGCCTAACACAGTTCGGCCACTGACGAGACAAGCATCCGAATCAGCTTTCGAATCATCAGACATACGAGATCAGACAAATCGCGCTACATCACCAGTTAAAAGCATCACCGAGAATTTCACTCAAGGACTGCTGAAAGTGACCTTTGTGAGCTAACCGATCCGTAGCTTGATTGCCTTTCTGATCATACTTGATCTGAAGCTGGTTTTCTCGAATAATCCGATCGAGAGCAATCCTCTTTCATGCTGCTGCATCTCCACGAGTCCACGTAGCTGGGTTCTTGTCCTGAAAGAGCTTCTATAGTAATCGTTGAATCTCCTATTATGAACTCTCTTCCTTGAATATGCTCACTAGGATGTGAGTTTCCAAATGCTGCTCTCATTTCTGCTACTATACCCAGACTAATTTTGATAAATTTTAAATACGCTTAAAAGCACAAAACTCCATCAAAGCATC